GAACGATTGGCAAGGATAACCGGAAAAGCCCTTCGCTTTACGGACTGGTGGGATTCAGACCATCCAGGGATAGGGCGGAATGGACCTAACACAATAGATCTAGTCTGATAAAAGAAGAGCCTAGAATAATCAATCATAGTCTCAGAACAAGAAAAGCGATAGGACATAACGCCTGACATCTACCAAAAAACAAACCTCCCCTAATGAACCATCCTCAAGAATGGAGGCACGAGACAGGAAAGAAAACGTACGTGGGATAGCATAATAGGGTAGCCCAGAGGAAAATAGCAGTAAGAGCAGTCTTCCGGGAGGAAAAAAGAGTAGACAGCCAAAGAGAGAGCGTCACAAAGTTCAAAGGCCATAGCCTGGTATTAGCACTACGGGAAAGAAGTTCAAATGCACCTCAAGCAGACCGACAGTCACTCATCAGCATCCCCGAACCTTCACACATCATTAGGGATCCCCCATAGATAAGGGCAATAGCCAGGCCGAACACATCAGAAGGACACAGGCTAGAATACTAACCAAGTCACAGCACTTCAAGTAGGCAGGCCCAAGGACCACAGACAAGTAGTGCAAATAGTCCAGACAGAGTAAAGGGTTCTAGTAAAGCCACTAGAGAGAGGCTGTCTAGTCCAGTTTAAGCATCAGGGACCACCCAATAAAGATACGGTCTAAGAAAAGGATCAATAGGGATCAGGGTTTTAGCCCATATTTAGACCCAAGGTCGATAGAGTCCAAACTCCAATTTTTTTAGTGGGAGTATCAGCAATTACCCAAAAAGGGACAGGGAAATTTAGCTAGAGGTTAGGGATCTAACAGAAGTAGCTAGCAATGAACATGGACAAGGTTTAGGGTTTCAACATGACCACGGAAAGAAGCCTAACCGGCAGCTTCGGCAAGTTAAGTAAATCTGTAAGTCAAGGAGTTGAGAGAAACAGGCAGGTAGAGACTCAAGGAGGCAAGCTACAAATCACCAGAAGGATAAGGCAGTCAGACTAGCTTTCAAAAGTAGCAGTTAAATAGAGCAGGCTAACTCAGGCAGGGGTGAAGGGGGGGTATATCCTTCCTTCCGGAAGTAATCAATGCCATCCTTCGGGCCTCCACACCATAAGGGGGAGGAGCGTGTGTGAGTGCTTATTCAGTCTTATTGTAATATTTTCTGACTTGCCGGTGGAATAGGAACCGGACTGATGGTCCCCAGAATGGAAAAGGAGCTAGAACCCTAAGGTTCTGTTTTAAAAAAAATAAAAAAAATCTTTGACTTGCTTCTGAATTTCTGATCCTACCGATTCCTACGTTTTTAAGTTATTTGTACAGGTTCGTGGGGCTGTGTGGAGGGGGTTGTGAGCCTTCTCTTGTAGGAGTGATTGGGGATAGTGGTGTGTGATGGGGACTGTTTGGGGCGTAGGAGGCGGTTATTGAGGGGTTCGTGTAGGATGGGTGTTGGGATCTTGGTGAGGGTTGGTCTGTGTTTGGAAGTTTGATGTTAGGGGGTAGAGGGGGATGCTGCTGATGTTGAGTGATTATCGGAAGAATTCTAGGCTACCAGCCGGGCCGCCCGGGTCACCCTATTTTCCCGGGCGGCCCGGCCGTGCAAGCACCAGGGAAGGTCCCAGCCAAAAAAAAAAAAAAAAAAAAATCCAAAAAATCTGCAAAAAAAACTATGTTATGCAGAAAAATAAGCCGAACAACTTTTGCCTTAGGGTCAAATCAAAATTCTTTACCAAGTTTAAAATAAAAAAAATAATTTTTAAATATTTTTTATTTTTTTTATTTTTTTATTTTTTTATTTCTTTTTGGCCCGGTCGGGCCAGTGGACCGGGGCCACTCTGGTAGCCTAGGAAGAATCTTAATAACATCAGCAATTTCATTTCCTTTTTCCGTTAATTTATTTCTGTCAGGCAGACCTCTGAACTCATCGGGCTTGAGCGGGTGGGATGATAAGCCAGTTCTTGAGGGTTAGGCTTCCGCCCTTTATAGTTCGTAGGTTTCCTGATCCTAATTTAAGGACTCTGAAATTTTGGGTTATTTCTGGCCTTTGGTCAGGGGCGTTTTGAATTTGTTTTTGTTTTTTTTTCAAAGCGTGTGTATTCTGTTTCTATTATGTTCTTTATTGTGATGATTGGGTTCTCGGGATTGTTCTTTTCCATAATCCCAAAAGTGTTCCTTTTCTGCTGATATGGGAGAAGAAGAATGGTTCGAAACCTTTGAGGGGTGGGTTTTGTTCAACTTAGAGGAATAAAGTGCCGGGGCTTATCGTGATAATCTTATTAGATAAGGTACTCCAGGTGTTCTTTATTTCCTGCCATAGCTTCCTGGCCTCTGGGCAGTCGATAAAGCAGTGGTTTAGAGTTTCTGGGGTTTGTAGAGCGCATAGAAGGCACTTGAAACCAGAGGTGGGATTCTTTTTTAGAGTCTCTTTTTCTGTTTTCAAGTTTCAAGTTTTTTCAAAACTTTTTTTTTTTTTGAACTAACCTATATTCTTCTCTCAATATGTCTCCCACTACCTACCTACCTACACGCAGTCACTAACAGCCGAAGCAACCACAGGGTTATAACCACAGGGTTATGGGTCTAAGGCTACCACCTCTCTGCTCTGTGCGGGGAGCAGCACCCTGGCTCCTAACACCTGGCGCGAGCTGGGGAGACCAATCACCACTTCCCCAACCAGCCAGGAGGCCCAAGCCGAATATCTCTGGTGGTGAAGCCGAAGCATATCACAGGAAGGCGTGGGGGATTGAATGGACAACGTGGGGAATCGAACCCACAACCTCCTGAATACACACTTACATGCTTCAACCAACTGAGCTAGCCCACTTGGGCAATTTCAGCATTATTTCTTTATAATTCTTTCAGAGAAAAAGAGCAACTTGAAAGCCAGATTCCGTACCATGCTGTGTGCTGAAGGTTCGATAAATGAGTGATCACTGATCACTGATTTTCTCATTTTCTCGTGAGTACGGACGCCACCCGGGCGGGCGGGGCTGGTTGGGACGCCCGGGCAAACCGGGCGGGCAAAAAAAACAGCCCAGAAATTATTATTTTTTTTTTTTGAAAGCGGGGTCCTTCTGTGCTCGGCGAGAGGACCCCGAATCTGCAATAAAAAACCTGGTTTGGGGGGGGGACAGGTTGTCTGGGTGCG